GACCTGAGAGCCAATGTGATTGTGTATTTATTTCTACTGTGGTCTACTCTCAGGTCCGGGGGAGAGTGCCCCTTGCATGGAGACTGTCATAAAAGGCCAGTTGTGGTTGCCATTAAACTGGGATTCGTTTTACCCTTCATGAAGTCTAGGCTCATGTTTGGGGGATTGGAGAGCTATATTCACACTCTGGGGATTTCTATAATCACTATACTCCCTTGGACCACAACACTTGCTCTTATAAGAGCAACCTGCTGGAGAGGTCTAGGAGAGGTCTACCCACTGGAAGTTGGATCCTGGTCTTGGGTCCAGGGTGGGTGGAGGACAGCGAGACCCCAACCAAGCTGCGACAGTTGGTGTTTTATGGTGTTCCAGTGCAGTGCTTATGGTGCTCGCAAGTACTAGGAAGTAGCGATTTACGGAGGTACCCGGTCGCGGTGCCAGATGGTATGGTCCATCACACTTGGTTTACAAATTTAATGCGTTCTCCGGGATGTTTCTTATTGCGAAAAATTTGTAAACCAAACCAGATTTCCCATTGGAATGCATTGAAAACCAATTAATCCATTCTGGAGGTCAGAAAAAAGTCATGAGCTGACATGGAAACTAACCCACAATGCAGAACACACAGTAAAAGGCATGCAAACAATGAAGCCTGAGAAATGCACCAAAAAGGTTTTTAAAGAGTCCCAAAAACAACTGCAAAAAATTTCCAGAATGGCTCCAAAACTCAATGCAAAAGCTGCTCCAACACCTCAAACACCTCCACACACAACGCCACGTGCTACCCACAGACTCCAGAATGCATGGGGGTGGTGCTATAAATCTCCCAGGCACAATGCATCCTGGGGAAACTTGCTTTGTATAGCGAAAATAATTTGTAAACTGAGGCATTCTTTTCAGTGTGGATTTTCATTTGTAAACCAAAAATTATGTTAACTGAGGCGTTCGTAAGCTGAGGTACCACTGTATATCAACAAAACAAATAGTTACACCCTTAGTGAGTACTCAATCAATACTTATGCACAAATGATGGATGTGAAGGAATGCCCCATCACTTGGTTTGGTTGTAATCGTTTTCCCATGTTCGTTTGTTCACACGAAATTCCCCTGGTTCGGTTCCCAGACCATCCCAACATTATTATTATTATGATATTTATAGAGCACCGTCAAATTCCGCAGCGCTTTACAATGGGTGGACGAACAGACATGAAGTTGTAACCAGACAAGTTGGACACACAGGAACAGAGGGGTTGAGGGCCCTGCTCAATGAGCAATATGAACATGGAATACACATTCACACAAGCACACCTTGTTGTGAAAATGGTTAACCACACGTTCTTAAAGTTCTCATTTATAAAATGGAAATGTTAAGTTATGTCTTTTTATTTATTTTCATGTTTTGTTAAAAAAAGAGAAAAGTTGACAACGAACAGCAAGACAACTGTAATGATGTAACCTGCATTACTTACTTCCTTCTGTATTATGCTCAGTATACCCATACTATTTCTCGACCAATGTACAAGCCAACGCAAAATGTAATGCTGTTTCATGTGTCAAGACGAAAATAAAGAAATAAAAGAAAAAAAAAAGAACGTGGAATACAAAGTATTCAGTGCAAAACCACAACAGAAACTATTACTAAAAGGCTCCCCTGGGTGGCAGCCATTTTGTATACCGAACGCACGTGGTCGACAGAATGGATGGCGATCATTTTGTCTCCCAAACGCAGTCAGTGGTACATGGTCGTCGAGTGCCTGGAACTTATTTTGGCTAGGCACTCCCGCGAACACCGGTGAATATGGAACTGCTGCCTGTTCAAGTTCCCAACCACCTATACAAACGGCATTCGGGTGATATATACTACCAAATGGGGGGAGCATTCAACACCTAAAAGCATTTGCATATTATGTATGGATTTCATATAAAAACCCTTGAACTGAGACCGGCCGTTGCCACGATTTCTCTGGAACTATTTTGGGCTTCTACCTCGTTGCCAGCCAGTCAAAACTGTACCTCGATGGAAATTACAAACCATCAAACCGATCTGAGTGCTTTTTGGATATGTTAAGCACTCAGATCAGGGCTACCAGGGGATGGAACTCTTAAGGGGTTTCCATGTATTTTGGAGGTACTTTTGGGGTGTTAAAATATTGTTAAATTTTTCTGTACCTGGAAGATATTTGAATTGTAAGTTTCCTGACTCAATTATATGTCAGGCATAGGGAAGAGTTTACTGTATGTATAAATTTAGAATGCTTGCCTGCATTTAACAGATCTACTCCCAGCATTCAGTCTTGACTAATGTGTGGGGGGGAAAGGCTATACCAATGATATTAACTCTCATAGTCGATAGAGCTACTTCACTTGGGGAAAGGAAATCCGTGGCGTCGACATACTGGCGGTCCACCACATCTGGTGGCAGAAGTGGGATAGTTCCTTTCCCTGGAGCTGTAATCTAAAATCGGAACTTGCCAGGAGGACAACGGATGGAGATTGGGTACGCTCAACTTAAGCATACTACTTTGAAGAAGTTATTGGAAGCCCGAGGAGGTACTGTCAGCAGTGTGGGGATATTTATGGGATAATAATAGTAACAGTTGAGAATTGCCCACTATTTCAATTCTCAGATCCCAAAGAACGTTTATCGTGTTAAGTGGAATGTATTTCATATAATTAATATCACCATGTATAAAAATAGATTTTTATTTATATAACCAATAATTAATAATAATATTATGCAACATGCATGACAATAATCAATGAATATTCAGTATAAAATGATATGCAATACAAAGAAATGGGTATTACGTTACAATGGCTATTACAGCATTTTCTGTCAAGACTTTATAATTTATGACTATGCTTACACAGACATAGTGAAACTTTTCACAGCGAAGAACAGAATTCCTCAGAGTGCAGCGTAAGGTCGTAAAGTTTAGCAGACAGTTAGAATAACCCTTTCAATGCTGGCTAGATCTCCTAGGTAGTTAAGATCTATTCTTATGTAATTTTTAAATAAAATAACATTTAACCAGTTCATTAGCCGTTTCCTGAAATCATCCAATAAGAGAATTTACCATATTATATAAGCAGATTTTTAATTTGTCTAAAAGATATCTATCTTAATTTAGAGCAAATCAATACACCTGGATAAAAACAGCGGTATGCTAACACGTGATAATATCACATCAATATATAATTATTCTTAATTCCACCTGCAGAATGGAATGTTTATAACTATATATTCTTAGTTAACTAAGATTTCTTAATATGGAAATCTGACCGTGCTTTATCCAGTCATATATAATGCTATTAATACATTTTAATTAATTTAATTAATTAAATGAAACCAGTATAATTAACAGTTAAGTAGATATTTCATCCGATTGGTAGTCTCAGGAACTTATTTGGATGTCTCTCTCTGCATGGAGGTTGGAGTCCCCAAACTTCCAATTCCTCTCTCCTCTCCTTTGCATCTCTTGCATACCTTGCCTGTCTCCCTATCTTCCCTTTGTCTTAACTTTTAAAGGGCCAGACTCTCTGTACGTCATCAGTTGATAACCCAATAGAAGCACTAGAGGTGTGGTTATCTTCCAGATCGCAAATTAGTTATTTGGTCTGTAGAGGGCAGTCTTGTCCCACTAAACATACCTATCCAGGAAAGAGTTAACTTTTCCTGGTGGCTATTTTGACGTCATTTTGGCCTATCTAGATAGTGGCTATAACTTACGTATCCTTCAAAGATCAAAGGGTTTCTTAAATTTTGTCCAGACTATGTGTCTGCAAATCTGATATAATTTCTGATATGGCAGATCATGAACTAAGTTTACCCTTTTCCATACAATGGTACCTTATATATATATAGACAGTAAAATTAAATTATTTAATCTTCTCTGTCACAATTGTCTGGGTTTAGATTTGATTATATTCTTCTTATCACTTGTTTATACTATGCTATGCATTCCTTAGCTCTGGCAAAGAGGCCAGTCTTACAGAAAGAAATCTAGTGTCTTCTTTGTTAATTTGGAATAACAAAATGGAGTCTGGTCTGTTCAGAGTGACTCAGAATATACACTTTTAGTTTCTATCATAGCACAAAATGTCTGCCGATATAAATACCCTGACATAACCCCCCTTTAGTGCATTTCATAGCCAAAATTAATTTAGCTTATGAATAAGCACTATAGAAGTTACCAGACATATTGTGCAATCATATCATTTCTAACATAGGCCCGTGCGTGGAATGAACATTTTTGTATATATTTGTACCTGTAAAAGTTTTGAACTTTACACTTAGTACAATCAACCATAATATCATTATTACATAGTACATTGTTTTCATTTGAAAAATGTCTTTGGGAGTTACATATGGTATGGCCAATAAAAAGCAAATCTCCATACGTTCCGGATCAATTAAGAGAGGTATAGCGCTCCCCATCTCAAAGGCCAGATTTAATTGCATAGGCTCAATTGTCTTTCCATCCACATTGGCAAGCATCGCATGAACAATATCCTTGGATACAAAATACAGAGGTATGCGTCCCCCTGCCAATTCGATCATTCCAGTTTGCACTTCATCAAGAAAAGCAAGTGTGTGGAACAATATTGGGTCATGCAGAAATAGAAGTTCACGCTTAAATAAGTCATGACTTTGGTGCAACTCAGTGGATATGGCAATTAATTCCGAATGCAAATTCGTTGTAACAACTGTGTCTTCCACAATAGTTAACACGTCTTGGAGAAGTGTTCTTTGCTGTTGTATCACCTGATGAATATCGTTAATGTGTTGCTTTAGCGCATAGATTTCCATATCCAGCTTTTGGACAGTAATCGAGTTGGCTGCAGACATTCCAGTTGCGACAACTGCACCGACAGTGGCACTAACTAATGCAACAATTATAGCGGTGAGGAACCTTTTGGGTCGGTTGCTCATCAGAATAGAACTGGATACAAATGGTTTCCGGGCTTGCTCCAAGATGTATCGCACACGGTCCTGTGCTCTTTGGAGGTGCATCTGGTACCAAGTCTGTAACTCAGGAAGCTGCATCGATGAAATGTTGTATGCCTTCTCGATGGAAATCTTGGGGTCCAAGCTGACGAACACACGTCGGGTCAGGATCTTCTTCTCTGTTAAGATGAACCCTGGTGTCTCTTGAATCAGGATGCCGGAGGATGGTCCCATCTCTGCGATCGGGTCGGTCCGTAGCTCTTGGCACAGGAGCAGTACGATCCAGAAACACGCCACATCCTTCTTGGACATCTTTCGACAGTCACGGATCAGGAACTCGTTTCAGACTTGTCTACTAATGATTCAAGGTTTGTTAAGCATACAAACTTATAACAGTGTGACATCACTTGGCCTAGGACAACACATTATTACGATTCATCAACATATGTATTCTGTCTAATTCTATTTTTATAACTTCATCCCTCACTACATTTATTACTGACTCCTCAGCAATATGCCTATAGCAGTTAAACAAGCTAGTAACCTGCTTATAAAATGTAGTTATTGGATGGCAAGGAAATGGTTAATGACATGAACGTACATGAGATCATGGCACATCACAACATTTCACATCATACTATACCACGTGAATCAAGCATTCATCCAGGTTAGTCGTTCACCCTTCTGCATCCGAATCCACACCTATAATCCTTAATTGAGATTTAGGATGACAAGCACGCAACTGGTTAATGTGAACCCACTTTTCAATAAAATCACCATCCTTAGGAATTTTTATCTTGTACGCTACTGGGGAAATTTTGTCAATAATGACATATGGCCCTTTCCAAGAAGGTAAAAATTTCTTTTCCTTGACTTGATTTCGCGCAAAGTTATACAGATAGACTTGATCTGTTATCTCATATTCCTTTTTCGTGGTTTTTAGATCGTAATAGGTCTTAACCCCTGTCGCTGCTTTTTCTAGATTCTTTTGGGCAAAAGCAAACGCATGCTGTAAATGCTTGCGCAAATCTTCGATATACTGATGCGTAGTGGCAGCATTGATCAAGTTATGATCCGAAGTACGATATAGTAAATGCTGTGGTAAAACCATCTTTCTTCCTGTCATCAATTCAAAAGGTGACAATTTGGTAGCAGTGCTAGGTGTAGCTCTAATCGCCATTAAAACTAGGGGCAATTTAATGTCCCAGTCTTTACCAGACTCCTTAACATACTTCTTCAGAATATTAACGATAGACTGGTTATATCGCTCTACCCCCCCGCTAGACGCAGCGCGGTATGCAATATGTAGCTTTCGTTTAACACCTAGAATGTTCCACATCTTAGCCATTACTTCGCTGGTAAAATGACTACCTCTGTCTGACTCAATTCTTTGAGGCAGACCAAACCTGGAAAAGACAGGGTTAATCAACAAAGTGGCGCACACGGTACTCGTGTTCTCTTTACAAGGCAAACATTCTATCCACTTTGTGTACATACATGTAACGGTTAACATGTATTTGTTACCTCTTGAAGATCTTGTTACAGGACCTATAAAGTCAATTTGAATATCAGACCAGGGTAATGACACATCTCAGCAGTGCCTCCAATATGTGGGGATATTTATGGGATAATAATAGTAACAGTTGAGAATTGCCCACTATTTCAATTCTCAGATCCCAAAGAACGTTTATCGTGTTAAGTGGAATGTATTTCATATAATTAATATCACCATGTATAAAAATAGATTTTTATTTATATAACCAATAATTAATAATAATATTATGCAACATGCATGACAATAATCAATGAATATTCAGTATAAAATGATATGCAATACAAAGAAATGGGTATTACGTTACAATGGCTATTACAGCATTTTCTGTCAAGACTTTATAATTTATGACTATGCTTACACAGACATAGTGAAACTTTTCACAGCGAAGAACAGAATTCCTCAGAGTGCAGCGTAAGGTCGTAAAGTTTAGCAGACAGTTAGAATAACCCTTTCAATGCTGGCTAGATCTCCTAGGTAGTTAAGATCTATTCTTATGTAATTTTTAAATAAAATAACATTTAACCAGTTCATTAGCCGTTTCCTGAAATCATCCAATAAGAGAATTTACCATATTATATAAGCAGATTTTTAATTTGTCTAAAAGATATCTATCTTAATTTAGAGCAAATCAATACACCTGGATAAAAACAGCGGTATGCTAACACGTGATAATATCACATCAATATATAATTATTCTTAATTCCACCTGCAGAATGGAATGTTTATAACTATATATTCTTAGTTAACTAAGATTTCTTAATATGGAAATCTGACCGTGCTTTATCCAGTCATATATAATGCTATTAATACATTTTAATTAATTTAATTAATTAAATGAAACCAGTATAATTACCAGTTAAGTAGATATTTCATCCGATTGGTAGTCTCAGGAACTTATTTGGATGTCTCTCTGCATGGAGGTTGGAGTCCCCAAACTTCCAATTCCTCTCTCCTCTCCTTTGCATCTCTTGCATACCTTGCCTGTCTCCCTATCTTCCCTTTGTCTTAACTTTTAAAGGGCCAGACTCTCTGTACGTCATCAGTTGATAACCCAATAGAAGCACTAGAGGTGTGGTTATCTTCCAGATCGCAAATTAGTTATTTGGTCTGTAGAGGGCAGTCTTGTCCCACTAAACATACCTATCCAGGAAAGAGTTAACTTTTCCTGGTGGCTATTTTGACGTCATTTTGGCCTATCTAGATAGTGGCTATAACTTACGTATCCTTCAAAGATCAAAGGGTTTCTTAAATTTTGTCCAGACTATGTGTCTGCAAATCTGATATAATTTCTGATATGGCAGATCATGAACTAAGTTTACCCTTTTCCATACAATGGTACCTTATATATATATAGACAGTAAAATTAAATTATTTAATCTTCTCTGTCACAATTGTCTGGGTTTAGATTTGATTATATTCTTCTTATCACTTGTTTATACTATGCTATGCATTCCTTAGCTCTGGCAAAGAGGCCAGTCTTACAGAAAGAAATCTAGTGTCTTCTTTGTTAATTTGGAATAACAAAATGGAGTCTGGTCTGTTCAGAGTGACTCAGAATATACACTTTTAGTTTCTATCATAGCACAAAATGTCTGCCGATATAAATACCCTGACAGCAGCAAGGCAAAAAAGACTTTGATCAGCGAACTAATGGAGCTCTCACGTAAGATACTGAACATATGAGGGAGATTCAGGAACGATTGGCACTATTCGCCTCGAATCCATCTCAAGAAGCCTGAGATAAGTGTGAACTGCTCGTATGCTCGAACTACAGGGAACAGAAGCATCTCCTGCGAATAGTCCCAGTTTCGTACCGGAGCCGCGAAAGGTACCCTTTAATGTGTTTAAAGCCTTTCAAGAGTCAGAGGGAAGGATTGATGGCTATTCAGCGGACTTTGAATGCCAGTGTGCTCTGCATAAGTTAGCGGAGGAGGAATGGGTACCTATCCTAGCCGGGAAGTTGGTAAAGCTGCAGAAGCCTTCAGAGCCATACCAGAACGAGAGATTCATAGCTATGAACTGGTAAAAGAGGCGCTCTTAACCCAGTATGCAGCTACTCCTGAAGCATACTGCAGAATATTCAGGGATCTAAGAAAAACAGACAAAGATTCCTATATAGAGTGGGATTTTCGGATGCACCGGGCTGCCTCACACTGGATTACCACCTTGGAGGATGTATTACAGTTGTTATTGCTGGAACAATTTTTTTAATTTAGTACATCCCGAGGTCAAAGACTGGGTGAGAGACCAACGACCCCTTACTCTTCCCGAGGCATGCAGGTTAGTGGACAAATATACAGATGCCCTCAAACTAGACCGGCCTCAACCCAGGATGCAACCGTCCAGGATTGAACCATCCTTGCCAACGCCAGGAGGGAATTATTGCCCTCCCCAACTATCCACGCCTGGTGTTTATGTTCCTCAACAAAAGACCGGGCCCTGTTGTTTTTGCTGCAAGCAAGTATGTCAAATTCGCAGCAATTGTTCCCTAGAGCCCCCTCAGCCCAACTGACCCAACTCCACGGGCCACTGAACACTGCATGGACACCACCGTTTCCCAGGCATGGAAAGCTACTGAGCTGGGCCAAGAAGAGCCACTAAGGGTGCTTCATGAAGCTGACCCGGCACAGGCAGCCACCACTGACAACAGACAGCACCACAGGCAGTTGGTTTTGGTTAACGGACAGACTGCCTGAGAGACACTGGGGCAACTATCACCCTCATCCAGCGACATTTGGTTGGCAACACAGAACATCCTGGGAAATCCGTTGCTGTCCGGGTAGCCGGGGAAGCTATTTACAGAGTTCCTACACATAAGGTTATTGGATACCTTAAAATATGTGGTCCTCATAGAAAAAGGGTTGTGGCTTAACCATTATATCAAATTTATGATTAAAGCCATATGTTATATTTGGGCGGTAAAATATAATTCGCACAATTAGAAAGAAACTTCTTAATGCACAGCATCATAACCGAAGTAGACCGCCAAGCTGATGAATACCAGGATGCTCACTAGACATGTGCACATCACATGTCTAGTAAGGGTTAGGGGTAGGGTTAGGGGTAGTTTAGGGGTAGGGAATTGCCGAAGTCCGGAATTCCCAAAGTCTGGAATTCCCAAAGTGCCAAATTGCTGAATTCCCGAGTTGCCGAATTGCTGAACTCCCAAATTTTGGAAGTGCTGAATTGCTGAAGTCACGAATTTTGGAAGTGCCGAACCGAAGTGTGGAATTCCCGAATTTCGGAAGTGCCGAACCAATTTTTTTGCCTATGCCCATCCCTAATACTCACAGGCAGCAACGTCCTAGTCTCAGGCCAATGTCCAGGCCCCTGAGCACCAACCCTGGGCCATCAGTACATCAACAAGAAGGGCACATCCCCAACCCACAAGCACCCCGATACCCAGCAGGCAGCGGAATACAGTGCCATCTATGCAAACAGTTTGGACACTACCAGAGGTACTTTTGCCAGGGAGGAAACCACACTTTTTGGATCCAAACAGGGCCACGCACTCCAGCAAGGGCATCAGCCCACTACTACCACATAGAGGCTTCCCCATTTGTACCCAGGTCCGAATCTACCGAAGAACAATGGGGTACCCTTCAAGAAGCTCACACGGTGCAAGCCACTTCTGATAACAGGCAGCACCATTGCCAGTCTGTCCAGCTGAATAGAAAGCCAGCCCAAGGTCTCCGAGACACGGGAGCCACCCTAACCTTGGTAAAGTGATACCATGTCCCAGATGCAGACTGAATCTGAGGTAGCAGGGGGAGCAGTACACCGGCTACCCATT